TATATTATATATAATATATTTTATATATTTAAATTATATATACAAATATATATAAATAATATATAATACATATTTATATATTTTTTATTTTTTGGTACCAGAGATTGACTCAGGACCTTGTGCTTGTGAGGCAGGTGCAGTGCCACTGAGCTAAATCCCCTACCTATATTCTAAAATTTTAATTAAAATTTTATTTAAAATTTCCAGTGAATTTAGCTTTGAATTATATAAAAATTCCTAGTCAGTCTTTTAAAGTATAGTGGCTTTCCAAAACTTTGATAGTAAAATTTTGATAATATAAATTGAGTAAACTTACTCATAACCTTTTGTGAAATTATAATTATTCATTTAAAGCAATATCAAAAGTAACATCTGTGCATACTTCCTCTAATGAGCATCTGTTGAAAACACATAAATACATGAAATGGCAGAAAAATCTCTAACAGAAGTTACATGCAGTACCTCTAAAATCTGTAAGGACTAGCAGCACCATGAGAATACATAATCTAAACATTAGAAAAGTCTAAATATATTCAGTGTTTAAAAGAGCCTATATTTGGGCTAGGGATATAGCTCAGCAGTGCAGTGCCTGCCTGGCAAAGCGTGAGACCCTGAGTTCGATTCCCAGTACCAACCCCCCCTCAAAAAAACCAAGAGTTTATTTTCCATTATAGTAATCAAACTCCTATCAAAATTTATCAGTACAAAAATAGCTTCACAACCTGCTGGTTTATATAAACATCTGTTCTCAAAATATGACAGCAGTTATTTATCAATATTGTACTGCATATCTGAGAATCATAACACTGTAACAAACAAAATGAAAACTTTTAGTTTTCAGTATTACATTTCAACATCACTGGACTATTTCCAAGAGAATGTTATGTAGTTTTAAATCTTTAAAAAAAACCCTATTGTTTATTATTTATAAGAAATAAGTACGTTCTAGAATTTCACACACCTGACACTATGAAGCAAACTACTCCCTGGAAGGAGACAGTAAAACTCTGTACTATATGTACCTGCTAGTATTAGTATCTACTTCACAGCTAATCTAAGACTACCAGCTCAAAGGCTGCCTTAAGACATCTGTGGGTCAGTGTGTTTCTATTCAATCCTAAAGAGGTAGTATTATTTAGGTTAAAAATAATTTTTAAAGAAAGAAATAGAAATTTAGATAAAACATAATAACATGTCCCCAAAGACATTAGTAAATATTTAATCTTCATAATCTACCTATTTCACACATTCCTAAACATTTAAAGCATTAAAGAAGTTGCCTCATTTCTTTGAGTACCTGCACTCCACCCTTGAGTGTGTCCTATATTTCTAAAATCTTTACCTAATAAATCATTCTCTTGCCTCTTAAAAAAAGTATACTAAAAGTATCAATTCATTGAAACTTATTCAATAAGAGTATTTTTGCATAGTTTATGACACAGACATAAAAGTATTGATTAACTCATGCATTTAAAATTTAGTTCAGCAGCATAATAAAAATATTAGACAGTAAGGAGTAAATGATTCAAGGTAACCTACAATGCCATTAAATTAGATTTAATATAAAAAGTTTTAACAGCTTAGTACAAAAGTTTTTAAACCTCAAAATTATCTTTTAAAAAGTATCTGTGGATGATTTGCTTTAAATTAATACAGTGGTAGAGGAGCAGGTCGGGTAGAGATGGAGTAATACTGGTCATTTTTTAATAATTGTTACAGCTGGGCATTGTGTTCATGGGAATCCATTATGGTATTCTGCTGTATATATATTTGAAAAATGTTATAATAAAAAATTATAAAATGAAATCTTGCTTTTATCTTCAAAGCTACGTAATAAATTTTGAAAATAAAACTTAAGAGAGTAAAGAATAAACTATAACTACATTACTAAAATTTTCAGGGCTAAATGAAAAAAAAACAAAGCTTCCTTTTGGTATATTAATGAATTAATGAGACTGAAGAATGAAATCTGAGTTTTAAAAAAGAATGGAAGTAGCTATTACTACAGTCAATTCATAATGAACTTGACTGACTAGATCACTGTTCCTTACGTTCTCAGTGTTTTTAACTTTTTTTTTTTTTTTGGTATCAGGGATTGGTTCTCAGTGTTTTTTAAGTACAGACGTTCTTGTGATTTTGCTCTGTATTTAGCAGCAAAATGGAATCAACCAGAACAGACAAATACTGGCAAAAATTTTTTGCTACTCATTCTTTTTTGTTAAATACTAAGGAAGGAAGACAAACAATCTAAATAACCCTTAAGAATGTAAGATTTTAATTGTCTTCCTTAGTCATGGAAAAAAGAACTGTATATCCAATTTAAACACTTGAGGGTTCAAAATTTAAATAAAATTAATTTTAATATTTTTGTCTCTAATTCATGAAACATTGATTATTTGTACCCAGGTCTCCTAGGATAGGAATATTTACAGACTTCCTGACACAACAATGTGCTTGTGTTGGGTATCTGACTGAAATATACTACTAGGTGACAGTACATAACTAGGGTCAAAATAGCTGAGATATTGACTCCAAGCTTTTGCTAATGAGCTATGTGAACTACGACACTTCATCTGTATTCTGAGATTTAGTCTTCTTTGTTTCTTAAACTTTTAACATTTTACACAGTAATCCAGGACATACTGCTGAATCAGTTTTTATTCTCCTTTTTGGTGGTGCTGGAATGGAATCTAGGGCACTGAGTATGCTAGGCAGGTACTCTACCACTGAGCTTCATCCCCAGTAACTAGCAGAATATTGATTAATATAAAAATCAAAACAAATACAGAGATTAAGTCTTCTAAAATTCTATAGTTGTGTTTCTTTTTGAAACAGGGGCTCACTCTGTAGTTTGGTCTGGCCTTGAACTCATTATGTAGCCCAGGATGGCCTTGAACTCATGGCAACTCTCCTGCCTCAGCCACCTAAGTGCTGGGATTACAGGTGTGCACCACCACACTTGGCCTTAAGTATTCTTAAAATAAGAAAACTCTAAGAGTACATAATATCTTTAACATAGTTAAAAGTTTAAATTGACCTGCTAAGCTTTATACTTAGAATTCTGTCAAATATCTCCAAGGCTAATCTATAAATTATAGTAGTCAAAGAAACTATAACTTCAAGCCAAAGTGATTCCTATTAAACTGCATAAACAGAGAGAAATCAGTTAGATGAACACCAATCCCAGGTAAGTAATGCCAAATACTAATGATCAACAAAACAGTAAACATTTATAGAATTGTAGGCGTAGAAAGTAAACCAGAAATAGCTTTTTCGATGTTACATTAAAAAGTTTTTATTTCTAAATGTCACAGTATTCAATGCACAGGCTCAATTTAAGTGCTAAAGAAATCAAGTATAATTATGTTCAGTGGTGTTAAGTCTATTTATTAAATAGATATTTTAAATGTAACTTAATAGGAAGGAAATTTTTCCTTCTTTCAATGTAAGTAGTTTAAAAACTGCATATTAATTATGTTATTTTTTAAGAATATGATCTTTTGTAAGATTACAAAACAATTATAGTCATTGAAAAATGGATTAACAAATCATGTGAACAGTCTTCAAGTCAGAACTAGAAATTTTCTTGTGTTTAGCATGAAATCCATTATAATTCCAAAATAAGTTTAACTATTTTATTCAAAATTACCATTTTAACCAACAAATTAGAATAGCTTTGTAGTCAAATCATTTTTTCTTGTTCATTCCAAAAACCCTTAATTTTCTTCTTCCTCAGCCTGATCATGACCCCTCAATGTTAATTTCTAATATATTTTGTAGCCCTAGTATTCAACAAATTTCAACCGAAGTACAAATTCTCATGAAAAAGAGAATTTGAAATATCTCACTTCACAAATCTTAAGAATCTGATTTTCAAAAAGTGGCCAGGGCCAGGGATTTAGCTCAGTGGCACTGTGCCTGCCTTGCAAGGTTCTGAATTTGATCCCAGGTACCAAAAAAAAAAAAAAAAAGTGGTCAGCCAGAAAAATGTTCAAAAGAAAATTTTCCTTAATTTTAATTAATACTATTTAGTGAAAAGCATTCAAAGAAGAAAAATTAACTTTAACATTTACATCCTAAAAACACCACAGTATGGCCAATAATTATTTTATCTGGTTTGCAACACACATTTCGGACAAACTAACCCTTCAGAATACCAAATTCTTTTAAAATTTGGAAGCAAGTTAGGCTTTACTTCCCACTGGTAAGCAAAAATAAATCTGCCATTAACATTAACCAGCTTATGCTGTAAGTTTATCTACTAATTGATTCTGTGAAATCACATGAGATCACCCTAACAGAATGTAATTTCAGAGTGGAAAGTCTATTTTTTTAAAAATACAACTTCTACCCCTTAAGAACAAACAAGAAAATAGAAACCAGGTTAACACAAGGAGCCCCTTAAGGGCCAATGTTAAAAAAAAAAAAAGGTTGGGGCCGGGGATTTAGCTCACTGGTTCTGCCACCTGCCTCACAAGCACAAGGACCCAAGTTCAATCCCCGGTACCAAAAAAAAAAAAAAAAAGGTAGAGGGATTTATATTTTGTTTTGCTGAAAAGCAGTTTTTTTGTAATTAAATTAGATCAGTATTCCCTACTCCTTCTACACGGATAAAGGAAATGTTCGTTCCAGTTCATCTAGGCAACAATACTCAAATTAATAAAAGAACTCTGACCTTGAGAGTATCTGAAAACATAAAGCTTCCTTATTTATATATCTTACTTAATCATGATTGTGGAATTGAATCTGTACCTATGTGAAAATGGCAATGCATTCTGAGTTGGTTCAGCTCTTGGCTCTGAGTTCTGGGTCATATCAGGTGTTCTCTCATCATCTGTCCCATTGATACTTTCTGGTGTTAAAGGGGACTGAAGATCTCCACCTGCTGATTCCTTGAAAAGGGATGGGGAAGAAGAAAAGAGTTACATATTAGTTTAAGCACACAACGTAATCTTCAGTTTAAAACTGACTCTGATGCATCCTTTCACATGAACCAAATTTCCACTGAAATGTGATCTTCCTGCCTCAGTCTCCCAAGTAGCTGAGACATGTGCTTTCACCCAACAAGAAATAACTTTTTGAAGCAAAAGCAACTCACAGAAAAATTCACCAAAATATAATACAATTTAGAAATGTACACAAAACACATTTTAGATATGTACTTTTAAAAAGCTAAAAAACTTTTAGGTTAATGTAAGTAATGGTCCGAATAAAATATGCAAAGAATTTCTTCAGAAGAAAAATAAGATGGCACACAAACTCAAAATGTGATTTTCACTTTGAGGAAGAAGTAGGTAATGAGAGGGATGCCAAGAGAAAAGAATAAGGAAGGCAAAAGGGAGAATGAAGTCTGCAAAAAGTTTAATTTAAAAATAGTTTAAAGTTTTTGTTGTTTTTTTTTGGTGCCGAGGATTGAACTCAGGTCCTTGTGCTTGCAGGACAGGCAGCAGAACCGCTGAGCTAAATCCCTAGCCAAGGTTTGTTTCCATTTCTCCCTTCCATTCTTTTTTTTTTTTTTTTTAAAGGAGGTGCATTTTGTTTATTTATTTTTTTGGTACCGGGGATCGAATTCAGGACCTTGCACTTTCGAGGCAGGCAGTGGAACCACTGAGCTAAATCCCCGGCCCTTCAAGTTTTTAATCTGCCTTACTTTTCAGTTCATATAGAGCTATTCAGAAAAGAAACCAGAAATACCTCTTTAAAATAGTATACATAATGACACTAGTGCATTTCAGCTTGTGTCTGGTACTCACAATGGACTTATTTTCTCAGAAAAATTCCTCTGATTTTTGGATGAATTAAGATTTCCCTAGCACAGTGAATTTATCCCTCTGGACAAAAAATGAAATTTAATATGAACTCAAGCTGGCACTTATTCTTGTGTCTGCCATCATCAGACTATCCAAATTTGGCACTAGGAATGAGATAGAGGGTCATATGATAAACTGTTAACCAGGGGAGGTGCTAGCAAGTAATGCTAATGAGTACTGCTAACCAGTAATGTGGTAGACCTGTTATAGTCCCTGGGCAATAGAACTCGACAACTGAAATATCTCTGCCAGAAGGGAAAATGAAAACCCAAGTGTCTAACAGTGTGCAAGGATGGTCATAATTTGTAAACTAGAGAGAATTCAAGACTTCTTCAAATAGAATATGATGAAGATAGGAAAATGTTTATAATCAGAAAAGATATGAGAATATAAAACAGTATCTAGGTTATAACATACTTTACATTTAAAATGCTATACATTAAATACTAGAAAGAAATAAGGAAAATATTAATTTCTTTTTGGGACTTTTGATTGTTATATGTATTTTATTTTATATTTAAATAGTTTAACTAGTAGTACCATATTGCTGTAAATTATATAAGCTATAAAATTATCAAGGATATGCTTTAATTCCAAATTATTTATCATTTTAATTGTCAATGAAACCTCTATTTTGACCTTTAATTTCATTCTTACTAAATCTTTCTCCAGAAACCTGTTTCCATTCACTGAGAGTCAAAGCATGAATAAAACCTACAGTATATATGGCAATATAAAATTGTTTTAGAACAAAATCAAATTCTACTAAATGGGAATGGGAACAGTAATCAATAATGTTACTATTTAGTCAGTCGTGGATTATCTTAATTAGCCAGAAAAGATTTAAGCGGTCAGTAAAAAAACCCCATGAGATTAACAACTTCTGTATTAATAAATGAGGCCTATTTTTCTACAAAATAGGCCAAACCCAAGTAATCAAGGTTGACTGTCCAATCTGCTGAAGAGTTAAGTTGGCCAAGATTTGATTCAATAAAAATAATAGAAACAAATGATCTTATAATCAAAGAGAATAAGCAGAGATAGAAGCCAAGGATTAATTTAAGAATTTTCTGAAATCAGCTGACAAAGATGTGGGGGACATAAACAGATTAGGATCAAAAGATAGAGGAGAAGATGGGTAGCAGTGTGATTACTGGTTTTTCCTACCTTTTGAGGATTTTTTTCTCTTGTCACTTCAGGAGTAAAAATGAGGGCTGAGGTATAGGGCCTGGGAAAGGCATGAATTTCAATTCTACTGAAATGGGAAGACTGATCTCACAGGGAAGTTAGTAAAGAAAAGGAAGGGGAAGAAGGACTAAACATTGCAACAATTCCAGTATCTTAATGCAGCAAGTTTTTCATTAGAAAACTTAAAGATCAGCTAGCTTTAATTAAAGTAATATTAGATCATTAAAAATAAAGTCTACCCAAAGTATGTTTGAAAAAAACCTTATATTTGCTCATGAAAACAAGAAAACATTTTGATAGTACATAAAGGCATAAAAGAAAAAAACCTTTTTTCCTACCACATAAGTAACCAAAAAAACCACAAAAAACTCCAGAAGTTTTAGATATGCTAAAAATAGCACTGTGAAAATTTTTTTTAACATATTCTTAAATCTCTAGTTTTGACTTCTTCAATCTAAATTGTGTATTTTCTAAACATTCAACTTTATTATTCCTTTTTAAAAAAGCCACCCTATCCTTCTACAAAACAAACTTTTTATCTTTGACTCAAACATTAAAATAAAAAACTTGGGGCTGGGGATTTAGCTCAGGTTCCACTGCCTGCCTCGCAAGCACAAGGTCCCAAGTTTGAGCCCCGGTACCAAAACAAAACAAAACAAAAACAACTTGGGGGTATATTTATTGAATTACAAACTTCTGAAGAAAAAGGGTAACTTCCCTTTAGGAAGACTCTTATGGTTGGCCATTTTTATGGAAAATACTTACGGAAAAAATTATTAAAATATCTTCTTTGAGATATACATACATACATACATATGTGCGTATCTCTCTATATACACACTGTATAAATAAACCAAAGTTGATAAGAAAACAGAAAAAAGCAAAATACAATGTATAAATATAGATCTACTGAACCTTTCTATTGCCTTTACATCCTATTTTGAGTCAGTATAATTGCTCATATCTTACTTTGTTTCTCCAGCAACCCCTGCCCCCCATAAAACAACCTGCAATCACAAAAAGAAAATGACAGTCAACATAAAGAAAAAAATATTCTTGGAAATTAAAATCTGAGAAACAAGGAAGTCAAACCTAACAGATGGGACTATATTATTAAAAAGAAGCCTGAGCACAAATGTAAGATTCAGGAAGAGGTTAAGAATTCTCTTTTCCTATCACTTATGAAATGGCAAGAAAGCCAAAATATGAGTCATATTCTGAATTGCATGGAGAAGAAATGAACTTGGACCACACTTGGGGGCCAGACTCCAGCATGCTATCACTACCTATTCTAGAAATGAAGGCCAGATGGGAGCCACAGGCAGTGCCTCCCTTTCCCCTCTAGACTCAGCACTGCTACACCTGCCACTTAATTCCAATGAAGGCTGAAACAGTTTTCCCTTTTTTACTCAAGTAAAAGAGCTCTTTTGAGGGCTGGGGATGTAGCTCACTGTTGCCCCACCTGCTTGGCAAGCACAAGTCCTGAGTTTAATCTTGGGTACCGGAAAAAGAAAAAAAGAGAGCTCTTTCTTTATCATTAAACAAACATTCATGGAAGACTCATTCCATTATAGATTTTTATACTTACTACCCACAGTTGAAATAAGCACACATAATACAGTATGTACTATTATATAATATCATATGTTACTATGTCAGAAAAATGAAATAAAAATCTAATAATATCACACTCAGTTTTCTTTGCAAATGCTAAGGTTCTATGTAAAGGGAGGGGGGAACCCCTGGAAATTGCAGACAACTATCAGTATAGTTTATATAAGAAAGATAGGAGAGAATTCCAGTCAACAGATCATATTCAAAGGCTTTACACAGTGTTGGTGAATAAATGCTATATTACTGAATTTTATAAATTTTAAAGTAAGAAATTAAAAAAAAACCTATCCCATTAACTGACTTTTTGATTAATGGATCAACTACTAGTTTTGATTCGAACAGAGAAGAAAGTCTGTGCTGTGCGACCCCCTGTCCTCCCAATCTATCCCACTCCTCTCCTACCTGCGCCCGCTCTTCAACCTCATGAAGACTTACTGAAATCTCTTGCCCCTCAGCTTTGTGCTACTTTTTCAGGCTCATCCTGACTTTAATTCTTTCCATCATAACCCTTGCTCAAGTGTCTAAAATGAGGAAGTGGCTAACTGTGCTCCAAATGCCAGACTCCTTTCATTTCAAGCCAGTAGTATCAATGTCTGCTGAAAAGATGTTAGAAATGTATGTATTGAACACTCCCACCCCAGACCTATTAAATAAGAAACTCTGGAGGTGAGATTCAACAATTTGTATTTTAGCAAGTCTTCCGGGGAATGCTGATGCAGGTTGCATACAATTAAGGCATTTGTATTTTTCTAGATAACTATTATGTGCCCATATACTATTTTAAAGCTATATATCATTATCTTCACCATTACAACCACATCACCAGCCATAGTTGTCAACATTTATTGAGCATTTACTATATGCTAAGCATTCTCTAATCCTCAATGAATTCTCACAATAACCTAGTAAGAACATACTATTCTTATTTTTCTCCCCCTCCTTCTTTTCCTAGAACATATTGTTCTTATTCCAATTTTACAGTTGAAAAAATAGTAACTTACCTAAATTCATAAAACTACCAAGGATTAGAGCCTCTGTTATTAATCATGACCTGACACTGACATTGTCATACCAATCCCTCTTAACAATTCTATAAAATAAGTAATACTCATGTTACACATGTACAGACACATTTAACGACTTTTTCATGATCACAGGATTTATGTCTAAATTTATGTGATTTGAAAACTCATCAACCCCCTCCCATACACACAAACTTTGCAATGCTTGGGACAGAACACAGGGCCTTGAGCATGATAGACAAAGTAGTGTACCACTGAGCTACATCCCCAGCTCAGAAGCTCATGTGTTATATTCACCTTAAATAAAAAACAAAAACTATGGCCAAGTGCCTATTATCACCAATTATTCCACTTAAGCAACTATTTATTATTCTATTGAACCTCTACTGATGAATTCCTCAATAAATCTATTTTTTTGGGCAGAGCATTAATTTAGCAGATTGAATCAAACTAGGGAATTTTGAGTAGAAGAGAAGTTGTCAAGGGCCATACAACTCAAATGAAATATAAACATTAATTTGTCACACAGAGGGGGATGATGAAGTAAAAGAAATGAAATAAATATCTTTTCATAATATTCCCTCTGGCTTCTGTACACTAACAATAAGACTTCAAAATGTTTGAAAAGATAAATTAAGGTCCATATATTTTGATTTTCTAATGCTAATGAACTTAAGAAATTTATTTTTTCACAACAACTTCCAAATATAACCATCTTAGCTGGATGTGGTGGCGCATGCCTGTAATCCAACTCCAGAAGCTGAGGACAGAGGATCACCGAGAGTTCAAGGCCAGCTTGAATTACATAACGAGATCCTGTCTCAGGAAATAACCATTTTTGCTATATTCATTTTTTCTATATTCTTTTGATGAAAATAAACGCATAAAAAGATTCCTTCCACTAATCATGAGCAAGTATCTTAAGAACTTGTAATAGCTCACAACTAATTAAAAATTTGAATTATGATCAGACAAATGGCAACTAAGGACAATGGCAAAGCTTAATCCATTACAATTTTATTAAAATCCTGAGTATACTCTTACTGAATGTGTTGTTTGTTTCATCTTCTTATAATAATAAAATCACCTGAGGAATCAGTGCTCCCAACATGTACTTAATTATAAGTGGGCTTCTCTGCTGAAGTCTCACTACACTATCAGAGCACTCAGAGAATGCAGATTCAAGAGAAGTTTCAAAATGATCATTGACCTCATTCCAGGTCACTGCAAGTACAGAGTTGTACTGGAGTTTTGGCTTCAATCCAGAGTTAACTTTCAGTCTGTCACAAAATATGTACTTCAAACTTTAAAAAGTTATCCTTTTCTATTAAAAAATCAACTCTTTTTTTGTATTTTACCAAGTACAATTGGATGCTAGGGGTGGGGAGTGACCTGAAAAACAAATAATTTTCTAAACTGTTCAACCATTTCGCTATTCATTAAACTCCAAGGCAATTCTTATTTATCTCTTCAAGAAAGTTCCACATACATCTGCTACTGTTGACATTATTCCAGATTTGCAGCATCTGACTCTTTTTCATAAAAGCTACAGCATACATATTAGAAACAATTACTATGGAGGACACAAAACAAAGCTGGAACCTACTCCTAAGACTGAAATTGAAATAAAAAATTAATTTTAGGAAAGCCTACTATTAAAAAGCTAAATAATTAGCATTCTATATGAATAATATATTAAAACCTTTGGAAAAATTACTGAAATGTAAGTATTTAATGAGCTTTATTTGCAGATAGAAAAATTCTAATTATTTATTAAAAGAAAATTTGACGGATACTTTTATAAAATCAATAAACTTTGTGCCTCGGTGCTAAGTATAAAATAAGATGTTTTAATTTTTGTGCATTTGAATGTCATGTAGAACAACACATATTTTAGAAAATTTTTCGGTATTTTATAACATTTTGGCATTTTAAGAACACCTTCTGGTCAGGGAGAAACTATCTCTCTCCCCAGGGTACCAAATTCTTATAGATATCCAGGTCTGAATGTAGAGCACATCTCTGCTTTCCAATTAGCCAGCCTACAGCCATACTTCCTGTTCAGCCTGTATACTTTGGAGATATTCCTTTGCCTTAATCACCCTGAAGTGAAATTATTCAAACCAACCAATCTGCCTTCAATGCCCCTTTGCCTTTCCAGTGGAAATCCCAATAAAGGCTCTACCGTGACTTTCCCTTTGCTCCCGCTTTCCACTTCCTGACCACTCCTGAAATGTCCCATGTGGCTCTGCACAGAAATACATGCCCAGTTTCTGGGGCCTGTGAATATGCTAACATTTTTTGTTTTCCTAACCCTCTCTTGTGGCTTCTCTTGTGGCTTAACTGTCTGACCATCACCTAAAAGGACAGGGAACACAAACAGGCCAATCTGTGATCTTTGTATACTTTTGTTTGTAAGTTGTTATGTACATTAAATACTAAATGAGTAAATATTAAACTGAATTTTAAAAATATTCTTGTAGACACTGACATACAGAAATCTTTCTCTACCATGAGAGATAAACTAAAGAAATCTATCACTATGTCCACTTGGGAAATTAATTTTGCCATTATTTTCCCAAATTTAACTAACTCTGGCATAAACGATGCCATCTGAAATGAAAAGCCACACAAATAAAAACAGGAGCAAAACACCTACCTGTGAAGGTGTACTAGTAAGTTCCATCTTCTCCTGTGATTTCTCCTTTGCTAGCCGAGCAGCTTCTTTAAATTCCTGAAACTTTTCTGCAAACTGAAAGGATAAAGACTACATACATTAATCAAATAAGCAGTCATAGTGCCCACCTTTATCTTAATTTGGTTTCATTTTTGAATAACTGACTCTTTTTTTTTTTTTGGTACCGGGAATCGAACTCGGGTCCTTGCACTTGCTCAGCAGGCAGCGAAACCGCTGAGCTAAATCCCCAGCCCTTGAATAACTGACTCTTACACAAGCAACATAACCTCCAGAGCAACTGTAACTTGTAACATGAATATGATAGAGAAAGAAACCTAACGCTAAATATTTGTTGTCCGTAAAGTACTATGACAAGTCTCATTCATCACTGTATAGTGAAGTAAGAACTGGGTGTCAGAAATCTTACTTATTTATATACCTCCTTGGTTGTTCAGAAATATTACAACGACCAAAGTAGAGGTGGAATCAGTAAAGAGAGGCATAGTATGTTTTGTTTATCTGAGAAAATAGAATTTCTTTTTTTTAATTAATTTTATTGGTAAAAAAACTGAATTTCTTAAGTATGCATATTAAAGTACTGAGAAAATGCTTTTAGACATTACTAAGATATAAACTCATATAAGGCATTTTATTTTCAATATTACAAATAATAGAAAGGAAAGAAGGGAAAGGAAAAATTACGAGAAAAGGAAAAATGGAAACAAAGTCTTTGTAAATAGGGAAGGGTGGAGGGAGTGAAGGGAGAACAGAGAATGGGGAAAAAATGAGAACCAAGATACATCATGTACAGGAACAAGTACCCAATGATAAATGTAAATGTATGGTGTACCTAAAATGTACCAATAAAAGAATTTAAGGAAAAAATATAGTAACATACTATTATCACCAATATACAACTAAAAGTTAATTGCTCAAAAATTTTAAGGAGCTAATGTATACCTATACTACTGATAATTTTTTTTCTTTGTTTTTTTTGTTGTGGTTTTGTTTTTTGGTACCAGGGATCAAACTCGGGACCTTGCGCTTGGGAGGCAGGCACTGGAACCACTCAGCTAAATCCCCAGCCCACTACTGCTAATTTTTATATCCTTAGTTTTCAGCAAAAGAAAAACATAATGGCTTCAGTTTTCATAACAAACACAATTTAGTAAGCATACTTGCTCATATCAGTCACCATTACATGATCATGCATTTCTTCACGATGCTTCCATGCTTGTTTTGAAAGGCTTTATTTATAATTGCCTTCAGAACATTCTCCAAATCCTTTCTCCAATCCTCCAAATCCTCAAATGCTTTAACTCACACACGACTTTTATAAAACAAACCTGAATGTTTACATGCTTGCTTCATTTATGTAAATGATTATAAATTCCTTTGGATCCCCTAGTTTGAAAAGCACCAAAATTGGTCTTCAAGGTAGTTTGAAAAACACATCATGATTTTGTCACGTCTGAATCAACACATTCTGAACAGACTAATGTCACTTCTTACATAAACAAATTAAGACATCTCCAAGAGTGTATGCACTGTTTTCCAATATTCAATCTACCCCCAAAATGCTATGGTTCATGACAGGAATAAACTAGTTAAAGCACATGCTAACTTTACAGAGGAAAAAATTTTCTTGAAAAATAAAAGCCATTCCCAGAAAAAAATCAAATAAGAACAGACAGCATGATTGACAGAATGTAATAAGTACTCCTTTCCTACATTAGCTAGCTGCTTAGTAACTTGAAAGATGTAATGAAGAACTTAATTTATACTCTAAAGTACTTGAGCCCCAAAAGCATTTCATGTAAATTTATTTGATAAGTCAAACCACAATTTATTGTGTTACAAAGTCAAGATACTTTACAAGTGAAATATAGTTTAGTTTTTTTGCTATAGACTTTAATGGAAAATTTCAAAAGAAAAATTGTAAAAAAGTTCTGAGTAACGGCAAAAGTATAATAAACATAATTTTCCAATGGTATTGTTTATTAAATGTCAATGTTCAACTGGATGCCTGTGTTCTTATTATGCTGAGATACTCTGAACCTAAAACTCAAACCTATACCACAATTCAAGAAATATATTCCGAGAATAAGACATACACAAAGGAAACTAAGTCAACTAACACTTGTTTGTTTTTCGGCAGAGATTAAAGCCTGGGCCTCACATAATGCTAGGAAAGTGCTCTACCACTGAGCTACATTACAATTCACACTTACTTGTTTTAATCATCTTCCAGAGAATGATTTATAATGACAAAGACAAAAGTTAAAATAGTCTTAAAATTGAGCTTTAAACTATTAATTTATATAAAAAGATAACAAACACTTGAAAATATCAATGTTAAGGAACGTTTACAACTAAACTAGAAAAAAAACAAAGTGGACTATTTCAACTACCAAACTATCTAGTTATAACTTCAAGTCAATAAAATGTTCACAGAAGTGTGAAATTTTTTAACAAAATTCGGTTTAGAAACCTGAGTAATTTCTATAATAAGACACCTTAAAGTTTAATGAAAATAATAACAGTATTTATCTACACGATTCTGATTATACTCTATACTTGAACAATTTCAACTCTCAAGCTACCATATCCTGTCTATAACAAATCACACATAAAGTGTTCGAATGTGGGGTTAGCCCTTTAACAGAACACGTCAAACACAGATTTTAGTGTAAATCTTTAGGTCTGGTGGGCATAAAATCTGAACAGCAAAGTGAGTAATAATCATCTAGATCAACATTTTGTATCCTGAGATTGTCTTTTCTCTCTTCTTATACTCCTTCTGTGTAACATCCACCAGAATTCAAGGTGCTGCTTGTGTGAACAGCAAGTGCATGGCTTTTGCTTATGGCAGGACAACTGTTTTATTTCCAATTTTATCTTGCTGATGTGCCACATTTTACTGGCCTTTGTGGCCAGTCATTCACTTGGTTAGTATTACCCAAGAATTATTCATGATGTCTGTTTGATTTCAGTCTGTATTGCATTAGAAGTTTTGGAGTACTCTACAACCAATTTTCCCTAAATATAAAAATTTATGCTGGGCATGGTGGCACATGCCTGTGAAATACCAGCTCTCTGAGAAGCTAAGGCAAGAGGACAGAGCAAGTTCAAGCCCAGTCTGGGCAACTTAGTGACTTAGGAAGACCTTTTCAAAATAAAAAATAAGAAAAGAGCTGGTGATATAGCTTAGTAGAAAAGCCCTGGGTTCAATCCCTAGTACAAGAAAAAAAAATTGTAATAATAATTTATATGTGCCTAGTATTATATCAAAAAGCTTAAGTCTGTATCACTATCACCTTCAGTTTTCACAATTTAGAAGAGCTTGGTATCTGCCTATCTTGTAGACGATTTCCAATGGAGAGTGCTAATCTCTGGGCAAAATCCCTTCTAAAGTGATAATCTCTATCTTTTATTTTCTATCATACAAGTATTAACCACACAAGTCCTTCTCAACTGATGATGACTGTTCTTAATGTGTACAAGACATTTCTCATGGGACAGAGGATCCAATGAGCTCTTGCTTCTTGCTCTAAAGTCTCAGTTGTTTTGAGAATATTAAATAAATTCCTCCACTATTTCATACTCTCCACTTGCTGTTATATATTTAAGACATATGAATTGAAGATGAAGATTTTCACTCAGATCTTACGATTTAACTTACTTTTGAAAGATGATGCTCAGAGGAGAATCCTAGTCCATAAACAGTGTTTGCGCGGCTATCGGCCCACTGGCCAAACTTCTGAGATGTTTTAGTGAATGTCATGTTTGGGGTAATAGTGCTATTTATTATTGCCTGAAAAAGAAAAGAAGTGTGAGAAATCAGTCAAAAAAGAAGAAACAGGCATTTGAATAAAGAACCATTTAGTTACATAAAAGTTGGGTATCACTAGTAAGTCAAAATGTTAAATATATAGATTATGGAAGAAATAGTTTCTACCATTTTAAGTGACAATATGGAAATGCAGTGTCTAAAAAAACTATAAAATGGTACTCTCCATCAAAAATTTCAGTATCTAATACTCAAAACAAGTATTCCTAGAATCCAAAAAAAATTTAGTTTTTAATGTGGCCAGATTCTTCCTTTTGAGTGTTTAGGATTAGTATTTATTAATTTTGGATGCTACTCACTGGAAGCAAATAGGCCTTAGTCTTTTTTTTTTGGTACCGGGGATTGAACTCAGGACCTTGCGCTTGTGAGGCAGGCACTGGAACCACTGAGCTAAATCCCCAGCCCAAGACCTTAGTCTTCATAGTGTTTAAATATTTAAAGTAGGGTCTCATTCTCCAAAGAATCTTTAATGCATAATTTCTTAGAAAACTAGTATTTCAGCAACATTATTAAATATTAACTTTAGTGATCATGATAGATTTCAACTATTATAACATTAATTCATGACATCTCTCAGTACTAGAAAAATAGACAATTTATGTTTAGTTGGTTAGTCTAAGGCCCTCTAAAATATGATTCTCATAATAATAAAAAGATACATGTTATCAAATCCCAAAGCAGTCATCTAGTAAACTATTATTAAATGTGGAGTGGAAATCAAGTATTTTCAAAACAAAGCTAAATTTGTTTACCAGATAAACAACAGTATTAATGTAAAATATTTATGAGCTATGCATGTATGGATAAGTTATGGTCAACTGCCTTACTAAAGAAGACAATAAAACAGAAATTGGTCCCTTTCTTTCTCTCACAGAAAAGTAGATGTGTTGTCTATTATTATGAGAGCCCATATCCTCAGTGAAAAGTTATATATTCATTCTTATATAGCTTCCATACCCTTCAAAAAAAAAAGCTTCTTCCAGCCTATCATTTTATATGTGTAAAATGTGTCTAGCCACTAATTTGTAGGGCTATCATCAAATGAAAGACTAAATGAAAAAACTATTCACAAATAGCAAGGGACCATTCATTTTATTGAACTTTTTTTTCACAAATACCTATTACATGCCAAGCACAATTCTATGTTTAAGAGAGAGGCAATATAATTATGGACTTTATTCTAAGAGGAGTCAGCCAATGCACCAGTAAATAAATAGCTGACAATTTATTGGCCATGTGAGGGTAGCCCCTAAGACCAGGATGTGATAGGGTAGAAGGTGAGCTGATAAAGACTACCTGACACTGCTTAAGATATGATAGTCATTAGTGTTCTCTGAGGAACATATGATCTGCAACCTGAGTAGTATTTTCAAGGAGATACAGGGCATTTTTACATGAGATGCTAATAACTCTCAGAAAGTAGGGTAGCAACAGATTTTATAGGCACCTAAGAAAGTTGATCAGTGTGCTGCTGGTCAGATGGTGTTTAACTACTTCAAATGAACATCTCTCTTCTTTGTTAAAGAGTTCCGAATAATCTCCACTTTGAACCTTTCCTAGCCTCTATATTACTTGTTCTTTAGTAACTGAAGAAAAGCTTAAAAAAAAAAATCCAACACCTAAATGTCTATTTCTTAGATTCTTTGAGTAGGAGGCTACTATGAATTCTTCTAAAAGAAAAATTTTAGTGCTTAAAAATAAATATGACTCTTATTCCTGAACTTCTTGTACTTTTACAGAAAAATGTAAAAATGCTTTGCCATCACAGATCATGTAGTGTCCCGTCTTGCCCATACCAATATCTCAGCAGCATGATCAGAAAACCTTAAAGCAAACACTGCATACACAGGACAGGCACTGAACACTCCTGCTTACCAAAAAGCAACTATTCATGTTACAAAGTGCTGTAATCACAACTGAAGACACTCATGAAATAGAACTCAAGAGCTGCTTCAGAAAGTGGCAAGAATGACGGGATAAGTATGTTTGAAGTGAGGAAGAGTATTCTGAAGGCTATTAATGCAATATGTCTTTTTCTGTGATAATTTTTTATTTAAACACTGTTATAGCTTGTATCTAGATGCTGCCTCAAAGCCTCACATGGTCATAGGTGGGGCCTTTCAGGGGTGGCTGGATCTAGGGTGGGTGTGTGATGCTGGAATCTAGGATGTGATGCTGGGATTGATTCACGGTTCGATGCTAGGATTAAGGCTGTTCCACCCCGGATATGAGTGCTACCCTCACTAAGGGTGGGCAGCCTGGATAGAATATAAGGAACAGAAGAAAGAGGGTTGCTGCTTGTTGCCTTCCGCTTTGTGCCTGCCATGAACTGTTTCTCTTCTGCAATGCCCCTCTGGTATGCCATGCTGCCTTGGAGCCAGCCAACTATGAAATGAAAAACTGTGAGCCAAATAAACCTTTCCTCCTAAAAAAAAAAAAAAAAAAAAGTGCTGAAGCTAACAGCAATCATTTAGAAAAGTAGCCAGACAATGAAAATTTGATAGAAAATACAACTCTGCTACAGAAGATAGATTTTGTTGAAAGAAACAGTATAAAACTTTTTCACAAGTTATTTAAGATTCTAATATATTCAGAAGTGGAACAGCCAAAAGCAATAGCTCATAATGCTTCAGAAGGAAGAATACACAGGATTATTTAATTATCAACTTTTTCTTTTTGATAATAAAGTATTTTAATCTGGTGAAGGTTAGTTAGCAACTAAAAGCTATTTAATCATTTCCACAGTTTTTTTCCTTGGACATGGACTACTTCAGTAGATCTTTACTTTTGTATACCATTTAACCTTCTATCTAATAAAATTGCATTTCAACTGTAGTTTGGACCAAGAGACAAAACAGATTACAGAAATTAAAGGTTCAAGTGAAGGGAAAAAAAATCAACATTCTAAAGCCTGAGATAATATGTTGCTTTTCAGGAAGTCAGTTACAAGATATACAGAATTATTCTTCACTAAATAACGCTTGACAGAAATCAATTACTATTTCTCAAGTCCTCCAAGTAAAAATGAAGAGGGCCGCGGATTTAGCTCAGTGGTTCCGGTGCCTGCCTCGCAAGCGCCAGGTCCCGAGTTTGATCCCCGGTACCAAAAAAAAAAAAAAAATCATAATGAAGAGGATCAGTTATTCAATTAATACAGGTTAGTCACTTATGTACAAGACACAAAGTACAAATAGCCTCTGAGGTTGTAATTTAATTAAAAAGATAAGAAATGAGCACACTGAAACATCAGACTAAAAGCTTATCATTAAATTACCTTTTATTTCTAAAAGGAATACCTACATAATATGCATATACATACACATACACATACACACATACACACACACACATATATATATACACACACCTATATGCTATCTATATAATATACTACCTGTAGAAGGTAGTACATAATAAACTAATTTAATACTACTAATAGCAAGCGTTTGTACAGTGACTAGTATCACACTTTGTACTTTTGCTTAAATTACCCTTCACAACAATGCTATAATGTAACAATGGAGGTATTTTTCTTAGGTCCCTTCTACAGATGAGAAAACTGAAGTTAAACACATTGCTCAAGATCATATGGCTAGTAATAGTGGAGAAAAATTTAAATGTGACAGTTTAGCTCTAGATTCTACTCTTCTATACTGCATTGCAAAAATCTGGGGGTGGGGGTTTGGAAAGGCCACAAGGCTTCAAGAAAGCTTGAAGAAAAATTGGAACCTCATCTTTCAACACTATCCAGAATCTGATGCTTGAAATTTCTTAAATAAAGAAAAAAAATTTAAATAAAATCAGTTATATGAAATTTATTGAAGATAAAATAGATTTTTCAATACTGAGGGTGTGGTTCGGTGGCAGAAAGGTCACTTAGCATAGGTAAGGCTCTGGGTTCAATTTCTGGTAATGCTGGTGGGTGAGTATTTTTCTCCCTTCTGAAGGATATATTACTTATCAGGCACTAAGTGCTTTATAGGTATTAAGTCTTTTAATCCTTACAACTATCAGTTAGAACAAGGTGGCTCAGAGAATCAATTTGCTCAAAGTCAAAATATTCAGCAACTGGTGGCACTGAAAGTTAAACCCAGGCGGTCCTTGCTCTTAAGTCTTATGCCATCTGCTTCTCCTAAAAATAAAGCCTTAGGCTTTCTGTCCTTATGCTTCTTTTCAGAAAAGGGTGTCCTGCTTTAATAGTGATATTGACAGACTTCCTATGATTTGGGGATTCTGAACTGCCTACTAGTCTACAGAAGTTGCTATGGCTTGGATATGATTATCCCAGGGTTCACATAACTAGAAGGAAGCAGTGTGGAACCTTCAAAGGTGGACAGAATAGAGGGGCCTCCAGCCTTTAGGGTGTGATCTTGGAAGGTAGTTTTCATGAGACTCTTTGAGTTCTTGTGAAAGGATTTTTATAAAAGAAGCAAGTCCAGTACCTCAACTATCTCTGCTTCCAGTCACTCCATGTGCTTCCACCATCCTTTTATAAATTTTTTGGCATGCCGTTTGGATGTTCAGCCTCCAAAACTGTAACTAAATATACCTCTTTCTTCATAAGTACCTGTGTCAGGTATTTCGTTACAGTAATGAAAAAATTGACTAATTTGGAAGTATATCTGGAAAGAATTCTAGGTCCTAGTATTTGAGATTATGTCTATTCTGTTCACCACTATACTCCTACTATCTAGCATATGGCCTGACAAAATATTTTGGCTTATAACTCAATATAAGAAGGTGGTTAATCCAAGTAATTTAATGAACAAAAACTGTTGTTAACCTAACAATCAGGTTTTTTTCTTAAAAATTTTTCAAATTAGGGCCAGGGATTTAGCTCAGTGGTTCCAGCACCTGCCTCGCAAGTACAAGGTCCCAAGTTTGATCACTGGTACCAAAAAAAAAAAAAATTTTTTTTTTTTCAAATTAGCTGGGCATGGTAGTAACCATCTGTAATCTCAACATTTGGGCAGCTGAGGAAGGAGGATGGTGGGAGTTCCAAGGCCAGCCTGAACTACATAGTGAGACCTGGTGTCAAAAAAAAAATTTTTCAAATTCATAAGGAAATTTTTATTTGAATGAAGATAGAAATCTGAAAAAAACCAAATAGATTACTTAAAGTAAATGTAACTTACCTTTGAGCCATCTAAACTGATTATCCTATACACATTTCTTGTGCTGTCATAAAAATAAGACACAGTAACTGCATGCTTGCTGGTGGGTACCCAGTTCTTCTTTGTATTTGGGTCAATCTGGAAGACATGAGCTCGAGTGCTGAAGATAGGTTGCTCCCTGCAGGGGAAAAAAGAAAATGACAGAATGAAAGCAGCCAGTTTAATTCCACTAGATGAGAACACAAAACTGTAAGGATGATGCTTAGCCAACAATTCCCACATACCCTCAAATAAGAAAAACTTTCTTTCAATTGTGAATATTTGAAGTATTCAACAGTAAGTTTCTTTGAAACAATTAAAAGTCCATTCTGGTTATTCACATATTCTATATACATGAATTCACTTACTCTCTAAAATTTATCTGTAACCCCTCAAATTAAATGTTTATCGCATTTTCTTAGTCTTCTGTAGATAGCCAAAGAGCAGTGAAAAACCACGAATTGCTGGTATTGTAGGTACATTTCCATCTGAAGTTGAATAAGATGATAGATACTCCACTTTCCTGTTCTAGCATTCATAATATATAACCAAGTGTCCTTTTCAGTCTGTTTAGCACCATGCTTGCTTTGGATTTTTGTGCTTATTGTTAGTGCTTTTGCTGTTTAAAATGGCTCCTCAACATTGTGATGAAGAAGCGTTCCTATGTGCTGTCTGTTCCTAGGTGCGAGAAATCTGTGTTGTGCCTTATGGAAAAAAAAATGTGTTAGACAACTTTCATTCAGGCATGAGTTACAGTGTTGGCTAATGATATATGTTAAAATATGAGGGCTTTAAGCAGTAAGAGACATAAAACAATGCTATGTACTTATGGTTGACAAAAGTGCTATGGCCAGAGGCTTGTAAAAACATAACCCTGTAGATTTCCTAGGAGAAGTGGTTTAGTATTTACTAATTTAGGGTTCCTGGCACCTTTATAGATCAGAAGTGAATAATAAGAAAGAACTATATTCTGTTAAGATACACATATCTTATATTTGACCCTCACAAGGTTAATAGCTTTTACCGTTAACCACATTATCCTGGTAATAGATAAAATAATCTACTCGGGAAGTTTACATTCAACATTACATGCACATACTATACTGAAAAGTATACAGGAAACAAAGTTGCTCAAAACCACTAATTTTTTTTTTAGATTAGGCTTTAAAGGTATGAGATTTAAAAACTCACAATTTAGAGAACTAAAGCAAAAACATATATTAAAAATACTGTTACAAAATTTATTACAGTATGAAAAACAAGCATGAATTAACTACATCTAACAGAAGCTTCACAATGCAAAATTTTCCAAGTTCTAAATAAAAACTTTTGGAAAGAGCATTTATCACTTACTTTATTGCTGTTTATTTTTCCCCAAATAATCTCATCTCTCTTTTTACTACATACCACTCTTTTTTGAAGCAGCTCAAGATCCTAAAGAGAATTTTAATTGGTAATAATGTTTATAATTAAATTCAAAATTTTTAATTTAAAGAATTTAAAATATTTTTATTTTTTTCTCTTTTTTTTTTTGGTATCCAGCATCGAACTCAGGTCCTTGCACTTGCGCAGCAGGTGGCGAAACCACTGAGCTAAATCCCCAGCCCAAAAATATTTTAAAAATAGTAACTTTAAAGAGGAAAGGAAAGTAAAGAAATTCGGAAAATAGTTAAGGCAAATATGGGTCCTTTGAAAAATGACTCATCAAGTTAATAATGATGGGCTAGCTGCACAAGTCTCTGTCAGTCCTTAGAGTGGGGTATGGAAGAGAGGGGCCTTCCCAGAAGTAACGTGGCTCTTGTCCAGTTTTTTTCTTGACACTTTCCTTTTAAAGAATTTTTTTCTTTTCTTTTGGTACCAGGGATCGAACTCGGGTCCTTGTGCTTGTGCAGCAGGCGGCAAAACCACTGAGCTAAATCCCCAGCCTTTCTTTTTAAAGGAAGTGATACATTTTGTGCTTCACCCTACAGCATGAAGCAGGAAGTCATCTCTTCTTGCTTGACCACTGTTATATATGGATTCACTTAACAAATGAGTATTGTGCTAGGAAGAAGAATTCTGAACTGGGAGATCCCATTCATTTCCTCTTTCCCATCCTCAGTCCCTGACCTGCAGTGAGGCTGGTTCTGTAATTTGATGCTTCCAAACACCCAACAGCCCTTATTTTTCTTCTTTACCTTTCAATTAAATTTCCATGCACATGCTGTTGTTGAGTAGACTGGCTACTTCCAACTAAGGTAAATCTAGTCACACACAATGCTATTAAGGTAGATAAGGAAGGGAAGTGATGCTTCACCAACTTTGTGAATTTTTTGCTTTCATTTGATTGGGGGTAAATTTCTAAATAGTGCAGTCTGGTGAGTATAGGAATGTGTTCTAATAAACATTTTCTAAAAGACTAAATTATTAAAATATTAATATTGCTTTCACAAACATTCTGTGACCAGTTAACAAATCTCTAGTCAATGGAAATGCAATGTTTTGAGTCAACGGAGATTCTCCACATATTAACTCGTCCAATTTAATCCACACAATTTAATTCTTTTTAGAATAAAAATCTTTTAACTAGTTAACATATATGCAAACAACACAAGACTATCAACTAAATGTACAGCTTTCTTCAATTATCTGCCAAGTAAACTGGTTTCTCAAAGAATATTATAATTCAAGATTTCTGTTGTCAAAAACTGACTCATCAAAGTCTAGATGATAAAAACTAAAGAAATAACTCACTACAGAGACAGAGAACAGAATTCCCAGAAGTAATGAGAATGCTACTACATCTGATAGGGCATACTAGTAGATGATTCAAACTTTTATTGAATATATTTATTACATGAAAAGAACCAGGATGGAGGCTGGGGACGTAGCTCAGTGGCAGAGCAACTGCCTAGCATGCAGAAGGTCCTAAGTTCAATCCCCAGCACTGAATGGATGGATGGACAGATGAATAAACAGAACCGGAATGGGTCCCTTTCCTTGAAAGGTTCAAATTGAGTTGGGTGTGGTAGCACACGCCTATAATCCTAGCACTCTGGAAGCTGAGGCAGGAGGATTGCCACAAGTTTGAGGACAGCCTGGGCTGCATAATGAGTTCAAGGCCAGCGTTGAAGTACAGAGTGAGACCTTGTCTCAAAAAAACAAAACAACAAAACAAACAAAAAAGAAAAGTTCAATATGATGAAAGACAGATACGTTAACAGTAATATACTCTTCACCATGACTGATTGTCTGAAAATAAGTGACTAATGGAGAAACCAATGCCTGATGCCTAGGGAGAATTTAAAACAAATTATGGCACTATGAGAAGAGGGCACAGTATATTGTTGTGTGTAGCAAGAATGTCAGTTAAATGTGAATGCCTTTGAATGAAGCTAAAAATCAAGAAACAGAGAAACCAGTTCATGAGGGTCTCCAATGGAAGCAATGAAATTATAAACAAGAAATAGATTTGCTTTTTACCATAGAAAGGTAAATTTGGCAACACCAAAAGAGGATGGGAATAACATCAGGCACAGGGAGACTAGTCAGAATCTTACTAAAGAATCACAGCAGGACAACCTACTTTCTAGGCCACCTTCTGTCTCTCTTAGACAGAAGCTAACTTTCTCTCAATAAAGTCTGCCTACTCTTAACCTCTGTTGTTCCTAGATTTCATTCTTCAATTTTAGAGAACATAAACTCAGTGTGCTGGACATCTAGCAGGCTGAGTTACAATATTTCCCTTATATTATTTGGAGGCCCACATATCATATATCCTATATGAATAATACCTCTCCAATTCAATTAAAACAAAAACAACTAAGACCCAATTGTTTCACCACCAAGATCTGTCAAACATTTAAGGAACTAACTTTTTTTAGAAGCTAGCATAATTTTTATATTAAAATTTGACAAGAAACTCACATAAATGCAAAAATTCTAAGCTGAATATTAACAAACAAAATGATACCTAAGCTATATTTATGCCAAGAATGTTTTCACATTAGAAAAACAATTTAATTGCCCATATTACAGATTAAAGGAGAAAAATCATATGATTATCTCAAAAGTTACAGACCAAGCTCAATATCCTTTTAAGGCCAAATGTATTGGACAACTAGAAGTAAAACAGATTATCAAGACATAATATAGAGCATCCAAGAAGAAAGAAACTGCCACAAATGTTACACTTTAAGCTGAGACATGGGAGGCATGCTCTGTGAGGTGGAGAAAAGATGAAGCTGCCTGCTCGGACACTTCCCTTCAAAATTGTGCTGTGCCCCCCAGCTGATGCACTAAGATAAAGAAACAAGAAAAAATGTATATCAAATAGAAAGAAAAAATTTTGTTCTTGAATGGTCTGAATTTATGTGTAGAAATTCCAAAAGAAACTCTAGTGATTTATTAGAATAAGAGAATTTTACAAAATTTCTGGGGGAAAAAATGAACACAAAGATCTATCATATTTGTATATATGATTAGCAATAAACAGAAAAAAAGAATCACAAGTATTAAAAAAATAAAGAGAGGGAAGCTAAGGCAGGAGGAACACTGCAAGTTCGAGGCCAGCCTCGGCTACATAGTGAGTTCAAAGTCAGCTTGAACTGCATAGCGAGACCCTGTCTCAAAAAAAAAGAGAGAATGAGGTTAGAGCTGAAAACATGAGACAAGATTAAAGGTAAACTGAGGACATAATATCAGTATGATTTAAGTAACAGAGTGGCTCTAGAGCAGTCGTCTTAAACTGGATAATCTGTCCCCCTGGGAACATTTCAGTGTCTAGATGCACTGCAACTGTCACATCTTAAAGAACACTACTGGCATCTAGTTGTGGAGGTCAGGGATGTTGCTGAACCTCTACAAAACACTGGGGTGCTCCCCACGGCAATGAACTATGCAGCCACAAGTGTCAATAGTGCCAAGGCTAAGGAATCCTAATGCCAGAGATGAAAGAGAAATCTGAGTCTCCTGGGTTGCTACTCTGGGTGATTAAAAAGACAGTAAGTAGTACCATCAGCCAGGATGAAAAACCAGAGTACAGTCTAAGATTTGGGGGGATGCAAGGGAGAGCAGGAAGGACCTCAGTGCTGTCTGCATTCAGATACAGTACCTACAGAGTCTGCACGTAGAACTGTGCGTGAAGAACCTAAAAACATT